GCCACTGGCCAAACTGAAGAACTAGCTGGTGAACCCTTGCCTTAAAGAACTCACATACAAAATGGTGAGACCAATGTAGACTTTTGACCCTGGATAGAGTACTGTGAAGTGCTACGTATGTCCTCATCTGATCCTGGGAGAATGGGTTTAAATTATGTATCTGATATTTCCTTGCTGTGCAACCTCTCTGAGCCTCACTCCGTTAGAATAGCAACCACAGCTTACTCAGATGTTGTGAGGGAGGCTGGAGCGATAGTACAGCAGGGAGGGTGTTTACCTTGTACGCAGCTGACCCCAGGTTTGGTCCTTGGCATCCAATATGGTCCCCCCCACCCCAGGAGTAACACCTGAACATTATTGAGTGTGGTAAAAAAAAAAGGTGTGGTGAATATTAAACAAATGAATGAAACTTTGGGATCCATACCCAGTGTTGCTGAGGGGAGCAGCACAATGCTGGGGAGGGGGTCACTCTGGGCAGAGCTCTGTGACCATGAGATGCCAGGGATCAAAGTATGTTTTCTGAGTGCCTTGCACACAGCTGACCCAGGTTTGATCTCTGGCATCCCATATGGTTCCCTGAGCACTGCCAAGAGTGATTCCTAAGTGCAGAGCCAGGAGTAGGCCCTGGCCATCACTGAGTATGGCCCAAGAACCAAAGGGAAAAAAAAGAATATTGAAAAGAAAAAAAAGAAAAAGAAAAGAAAGAATATTGCCTTTATTTGGTTGGGGGAACCACACCTGAGGGTGTTAAGGGGCTCTGTGCTTAGGAGTGATCCCTGGTGATGCTCAGCAGGGGATTTGAACTACAGTTGGCAGGATGTGTACGTACTGTCTGTACTATCTTTTCAGGTCAAAGGTACCCTTTTTTTTTTAACCTCTGTACTAGCTGGAGCAATAGCACAGCGGTAGGGCGTTTGCCTTGCGAGGCTGGCCCTCTTGGAGAGCTTGGCAAGCTACCGAGAGTATCTAGCCTGTACGGCAAAGCCTGGCAAGCTACCCATGATGTATTCAATATGCCAAACACAATAACAACAAGTCTCATAATGGAGACATTACTGGACCCGCTCGAGCAAATCAATGAACAACGGGAGGACAGTGCGACAGTACTACAGTGCTACTATCTCTTCAGGTCAAAGGTACCCAGTTTTTTTTCTTTTTGGGTCACACCCGGTGATGCACAGGGGTTACTCCTGGCTGTGCACTCAGGAATTACTCCTGGTGGTGCTCGGGAGATCATATGGGATGCTGGGAATCGAACCAGATTGGCTGCATGCAAGACAAATGCCCTACCCTCTGTGCTATTGCTCCAGCCCCTCAAAGGTACCCATTTTATTAAAGAATCAGAGGACAAGAAAAATCTAGGGACAGGAAAAATTCTGAAAAAAAGTAACTTCCAGCAAGGTTTGCAAAAGTGGGGTTATCTAGGACCAATCTTTTCTTTTCCTTTTTCTGTTTTGTTTTTGCTTTTGTTTTTGTGTCACACCCAGTGATGCTCAGGGTCTACTCTTGGCTCTGTACTCAAGAATTACTCCTGGAAGTACTCGGATGAACCATATAGGATGCTGGAAATTGAACCTGGGTTAGTCTCATGAAAGCATATGCCCTCCCCTCTGCATTATCTGTCCAGCCCTCAGTAGTCTCTTCAAAAATTTTCAATGGGGAAATGGGCCAGGAATAGCCTTCAAGCACTGCTGGGTGTGGCCTCCACCCAATTTCTTAAGGCGGAAGGACCTAGGATATTGCACTAAAGTTATAGGGACATGTTAATTTCAGGTAGAATGCAATGTGATATTCCCTCCCTCGGTCTTCCTCTGCTTCCCTAAAGTCATCTCAAAAGTTACAAACTAGGGCTTTCAGTTTAAAGAAAGAAAAGAACATGACAGTTGATTTGTTTGATCCAAAGTGCTTACTTTTTTCTTTTTTTTCTCCCTTTCTTTTTGGGTCACACCCGGTGATGCACAGGGGTCACTCCTGGCTCTGCACTCAGGAATTACCCCTGGCGGTACTCAGGGAACCATATGGGATGCTGGGAATCAAACCAGGGTCAGCCACGTGCAAAGCAAACGCCCTACCCACTGTGCTATCACTCCAGCCCCCCTTTTTTCTTTTGAGGGCCCACACCTGGATGTACTTAGGGCTTATTCCTGGCTCTTCACTCAGGGATCACTCCTGGAGTGCTCTGGGTACTGAATGTGATGCTGGGGATTGAACCCAGGTTGGCTGCACGCAAGGCAAGTGTCCTATTCACTCTACTATCACTACAGCCCAAACTGTTTAAACTTTAAAAAATGTTTGTGGATTCAAACTGAACAGTGGCTTAAAATATAGTTATTTAATAGGTTTTTTTAAAAAAATATTTACTTTGGTTTCATTTTGGTTTGGGGGCCACACCTAGCGATGTTCAGGGGTTTTTCTTGGCTCTCCACTCAGGAATTAGTCCTGGCGATGCTCAGGGGACCATAGGGGATGCCGGGGATAGAATCTGGGTCAGCTGAATGTGAGGCAAGTACTATTGCTCCAGCTCTTAATAGGTGTTTTTAAAGTTTGAGAGCTAACAGTGATGTAGAGGTGTAGTACATGTAATATCTAAATCACATATTTGGACATGTATGTCATTGTCACTGTCCTCCCGTTGTTCATCAATTTGCTCCAGTGGGCCCAGTAACAGTGTGAGACTTGTTACTGTGTTTGGCATATCGAATACACCATGGGTAGCTTGTCAGGCTTTGTTGTGCGGGCAAGATACTCTTGGTAGTTTGCTGGGCTCTCCAAGAGGGGCGGAGGAATTGAACTTGGGTCGGCCATGTTGGCTGCGTGCAAGGCAAACGCCCTACCCACTGTACTATTGCTCCAGTCCTTGGACATGTATATATCTAAATATACATATACAGAGCCACTAATATTTTAAGCATGGAGCACAAATCACAATAATTAAACTTAAAAATGTGTCTGGGGTTGAAATGATAGAACAGTGAGTAGGGTGATTGCCTTACACAGGGTTGACCTGGCTTTAAGCCCCAGAACCACATATGGCTCCCTAAGCCCTGCAAGGAATGATTCCTAAGCATAGAGCCAGAAATAAATCGTGAGCACCACTGGGTGTAGCTCCAAAACAAAAAACTCAAACAAATAACCAAAAAGGAAAACAAAAAATGTTCCTGTTAAGGAGGCTGACTGGGGGGTGGGAGGGAACCTGAGGATCATGGTGGAGGAAAATTGACACTGGGGGAGGGGTTGATTCAGGAACATTGTATGCCTGAAACTATTATGGGCACATTTGTAAATCAAGTGCCTAAATTAAAAAAAAAAGTTTGGGTTTTTTTTTTTTTTTGCTTTTTTGGGTCATACCCGGCGATGCACAGGGATTATTCCTGGCTCATGCACTCAGGAATTACTCCTGGCGGTGCTCGGGGGACCATATGGAATGCTGGGAATTGAACCGGCGTTGGCCGCGTGCAAGGCAAATGCCCTACCCGCTGTGTTATTGTTCCAGCCCCCTAAATAAAAATATTTTGAAAAAAAACTTGAGAGTTGAAGAGGTGTTAGAACACTGAATGAAGACATGTTCTGCAAGCAAGAGGCCCAGGTTTGATCTCTGGCACTGCATGGTCTTCTGAGCATCCTTGGGAGAGATCAGTGAGCCCAGAACTGGGAATAGACCCCAGTCTAAAACCAGTAAGCTTGAGTACACACATGTGATTTTTTAAATCCCCAGACATAATTTGCAATGTCTTACAAATAAAGCATTTATTTTTTTCTTTTTTGGGTCACACCCAGCAATGCTCAGGGGTTACTCCTGGCTCTGCACTCAGGAACTACTCCTGGCGGTGCTCGGGGGACCATATGGGACATATGGGATGCCGGGGATTGAACCCCGGGTCGGCCGCATGCAAGGCAAACACCCTACATACTGTACTACCGCTTCAGCCCCATAAAGCATTTAATTCTTATAGAAACCCTGAGAGCAATAGAATGATTCCGTTTTACAGATAACACTGGGAAAGAAGAGCAAAGGGCGATCTGAAATCCAGCCTTTTTGTGTATTCCATATACATTGACATGGGACCCTGAACGTTCATCGCCCACCATCCATACTTCCGGAGAGGGGGGCAGTCCCAGAGGAAGCTCTCCTAAATTCTGCGGAATTCAAGGGTTAACCTCGGGCACCCCAGCCCATCCCTACCGTTTCCCTCCCAGGTGTCTGAACTGGCACTTGACTTGCAGCTGTTTGCAGCCATTGTTTAATGCTGACTTGGAGGCCGGGGCTGCACCCAGGAGTAGCCCTTCGCCCCTCTCACCGGCAAGAGGCGATCACACAATCAAGAGAAAGTTGTATTAACGCGCGTGATGCCCGCAGATTTTCTTCCCTGCCAAGGGGAAGGAGCACGCGCTCCTCGACCCCGCCCCTTCTCCCGAAACGACCAATGGCGAGGCCCCGATGGGGCTGAGGCGGGCCACGCCTCCTCGTGCCCCCCAATCAACTCCCTTGCTGGGTGCGCCCCCCACCTCCTCTGCCCCTTCCCACCGCCCCATTTTACGTCCTTCCCTCTCTCCTCCTCCGTTATCCCGGGGGCCGCGGCTCGCGCCGCCATCCCACCTCCCCTGGCCTTCTATTGGCTGGCCGGGTCCCGCGCGAGCGGGATCGCGCCCCGCGCCCCCCGCCCCCCAGGCCGCCCCAATTCTCTCGCCTCCCGCGTTCTCGCCGCGACTCGGTGCCGAGGAGGGGGCTCGCTGCTACTGCGCTCAGCCTGCCAGACCCCCACCCCCCGCCGCTCCGCCCGGCGCCCGCGGCCCACAGCAGCCCCCGCGCCCCCTGCCCGCGCACGCGCACGGCCCGCCCCAGCCCCGCGGCTCCCGGCGCGCCCGCTCGCGCCGCAGCCGCCGCAGTTTCTCGGGGCGCACGCGCACTGCGGTCTCCGAGCCCGTGTCTTGGCCCCCCTCCTCAGGCTCGCCGGCGGCGGCGGGGAGCGCCCCTCACCCACCCCCAGTCCCGGGCTCGCCGGGCACGCACGGGGCAGGCCCCTCGCGGCGCGCGCCTCAGGGGCCGTTATCCCGCGGGCCACGCACGCGCAGCAGTGAGGGGGCGCGCGCGCGGGAGCGGCGGCCGCAGGAAGGAGGCGCCGCCGCCGCCGCCATTGCGAGCAGGCGGCAGGCGGGGAGCGCGCGAGGCCGGTCCGCCCGCCCCCCGGCGCCCGCCCCTCCCCCCCGTCCCCTCCCCGCCCCCCGCCCCGAGGGAGCGCCGCGGCCGGCGGGAGGAGGAGGTGGAGGAGGCGGAGGAGGGAGCCCGCGAGGGAGGGTCCGCCCGGCCCCCCGCCGCCGCCACCGCCGCCTCAGCCGCCTCAGCCGCCTCAGCCGCCGCCGCGGGACGACGAGCCGCAGAAACATGGCGCCGGGGCCGCCGTCGCCGCGGCCGGGATCCCCGCGGCCCGGGCCGCGCTGAGGGCGCCCCGCCGGTGAGTGTGCGAGTTCGCGGGCCCCGGCGGGCGGGCGGGCGGGCGGGCCGGGCGCCGCCCCGCTGCGGGGTCCGGGCGGGGGGAGGCGGCGGCGGCGGCGGGGCCCGGAGCCCGCGAACAATGGAGGAGCCGGAGGGGGAGGGGAGGGAGCGGTCCCCCCCGGCCCCCCGGGCCCCGCCGGCCCCGCCGCTCGGCGCTGCGGCCCGACGCGGCGCGGGGCCCGCCGGCGGCACCCCCGGCCGCCTACTCGCGGAACCTCGGGGGTCTGGCGCGGGCGCCCTGCCCGTCCCCTCCCCTGCAGCCACTCTGCTCCCAATTTTGTGTCACCCCCCCCCCCCCCCCCCCCGCATTCCCTCTTCCGCTGCCCGGCAATGCCCTCCGCCCCTCCTGGACTCCGCAGTGCGCGCGGGACCCCACCTCCTCCGTTGACCCCTCCGCGCATCGTCAGATTCCCAGACCCCTGTTTGGCGATTCGGGGGCGCCTCCTGCTTCCCCCATCCTGCGATCGGGGCTCGGCTCCCCTGGTCCTCGCGGCCGGCCGGGCGCTGTCTCTCTGCCTCCTGCGGTCCCTTCCCCGGGGAACAGACCCCCCGACCTCCACCCCTCCCCGACATCCCGTGTCTTGGACCGCCGCCCCCCCCAGGTCTCCGCCTGGGACTTGCCGCCTCTCTCGCCGCCCCGAGCGGGCACCGGCTCGATACCCCCCCGCGACCCTTCCCGACCACAGTTCACGCCGGGCGCTGGTTTCCTCCCGCTGCAGCATCCCGCGCCTCCGTGCCATTCACACCCTTCCAGACTTTTCTGCCCGCCAGCCCTGCGCGGCCCCGCGCCCGGGTGGCTGGCGGGGTGTGCCTTCACCTGCATTCCCGCTCTACAAGGGCTGCCCCCCCTCCCACGCTCCCCGCAGCCCCTGCCCTTCGCTTTGCTGCCCTGCGCTTGCTTCTCCTACCTCGCCTCTGCGCTGCCCTGACCCCACCCCCCCAGCCCCGCGCCACCGCCCTTCGAGAGAGAGTTCACCTCTGTTGGTACACTTTTGGGGCCATCGTAGGCACTGGCTCTCCTGCAGGCTTTCCCTTTCAGCCCCTGTTGGCCCTGCCTATGACCTCATGCAACCAAGTCACTCCCTTCCCATCCCTTCCCTGTTCCCGTTGCCTGTATCTGCAGGCACGTTTGGCCTCTGACTCCTGGTTCAGTGCTGGGGAAACCTCACCCCCCCCCCCCAGCTCCGCTCCATTTGGAGCTGTCCACTTGCCTCCTTGATTTCTTGACCCACTGAGCTCTTGTGCTGCTGGTAGCTCTTTGGGGCTACCCTCTGCTCTAGTGGGACTCATGACCGTATTCCCCTCCTCCCCTCCCAAGCTCCCCATGACCATGTGGATGCTGTTCTCAGCCTTCGTGCTCACCTTGCCCTCCCTCTTATTAACTCATACCACCTTTCAGCTCTGCTGCCCGCGCTGCTAAGGGTCTCCTCTCATTCATTTCTGACATCTCCCTGAGTGCCTTCCCAGGCTGGGGTCACCCACCTGCTTCATTTCTCCTGCTCTTCTTTCTGCTCTCATCTTGTCAGCCCCCCCTTCCACTCTGCCAGTTTTCTCTACCCAGTTCCTCTCCCAACTGCCCCCTGGCCTGCACTGGTCCTGCCTTCCCTTCTCCCCCTTTCTGGGCCTGGGTCGGGCACTGCTGGAGGCGCAGTCTCTCAGCGTGCCTCCTGAGGCTCTGCCCCCTAAGGAGCCTATGAGAGCTGCAAGGTAACTTGAGGCGGGGTTGCCTGAATGGTAACTATCCTCCTCGGATCTGGGAGTGTCACCCCCACTTCCCCCCAGCATCCCCTGGGGGGTGTGGTCCAGGCATGCGCTCCCTGGGCTTTGCAGCTGCTGGACCGCTTTCGTCTCCGCCTGCTCCCCGCTCTCCTCCAAGCCCTCAGACACTTGTACCTTGGAGCCGATACCTCAGATACCTCAAGGGACTACTCAGGCCTGTTCTTGCTGGGTTCCTTCCAGCTGACAAATTGTCTCTTTGGGCTACTCCTGGCTGGTGATGTGCCAGCTCGCCAGAGCTCCTCTGTCCCACTGGGGTGTGGGCCACACTTGGTGTTTATTTCTCTGGGTCTGCGGATCCCTCGCCCCTATACTTGTCTGCATTGTGGCCTCCTGGAGGACCAGTGGGCTTCTTGCCTTCTTTCCCTGTCTACCTCAAGGAGGCTTTGCCACCTGCCCTCCTGGTGAGGACTGGGTCTGGCTCTGTCGGCTGTCACTCAGGTTTCTGCTCTCTGGTACTACTCCAGACAGCTGGGCTGGAAGGGGAATTGGGGAGATCAGCCCTTGGTGTGTGTGCGGGGGAGAGGTGGGTGGGAGGGGGCTTTCAGCTGCCTGAGTGATCCTAAGAAAGGGACTTGGGAGTTTGGTTCCATCCTTGGGACCCCATACCTTCCCTGGGAGTTGGGCTTGAGGAAATTCATTGATTCAGAGGAGGTAGTTTGTTTGTTGTTCTGTGTTTTTGGGGTCACACCTGGAGATGCTCAAGGCTTACTCCTGGCTCTGTGCTCAGGGATCACTCCTTGTGGGGTTAGAAAGGGAGAAGGGGTGTCAGAAATTGAACCCCGGTGTAAAGTAAGCACCCTCTATGCTGTACTATCTCTCCAGCCCCAGAGGAGGTGGTTTTCACTGTCAGCTTCCAACCTTTTTCTTCTTTAACTTGGAAGAAGGAAATATTTTGCATGGTATTAGTTTATTTATTTTATTTCTTAAGTAAATCAGAAGTCTGATTTCCCCCACCCCCTTCCTGTGGCCTAGGGCAATTGCATATTAAAGTGGCCGGCCAGCTGTGAAGGGGCCTTTACTGGAAATACTCTTTATTTCCTAACTGGACTGCCATCAAACTTTGTTTACTTAGCACTTGTGTAGAAATGGTTCTTTGTGGACAGATTGGAAATTGGGGACATTGGTTCTCCTCCTCCATCATCGTTGGACCCTGGAGTGGCCAGACACTAGGGCTTAGGGGTAGGGCCCGGGCCTGTCACCATCGCTAGACTCCATTACTCTAGGCTGTTCTTTGAGTGAGCTCTGACCCGTGTCTTCACTGCTGGTGCCTGCAGGAGTTAGGATCCTTCCTGTTGCTTTTTGACCACTGCTGTATTTTAGCCTTGCCCATCAGGGTCCACTCATTTCAGGCTTCTCAGTGTGCAAAAGAGTAGGGATGATCTGAAGTCAGGGCTGGGGCATGCATGCAGTGTGTGGGGCTGCAGGCCCAGTGGCCGAATTGACACCAGAGAGAGAGAGAGACGACAAGGAAAGAACAAAGAACCACTTTCTCTTCCTAAACTGGGAAGTGATGTGCTGGAAACTGTCAGCTTTCTTGGTCGATGGCAGAGGCCCCAGTGTCAGCATGTGCTGGGCTGATGGGATTGGGGGGCTGCAGAAATCTGAAGTGGCAGCCTTGGCCTTCTGGAGTGGTTCATGTGCCAGTTGGGGGGTGGGGAGCAGGAGCTGGAGCCAGACAACTGTTCACCTCCTCCCGACGCTCTCCCAGGTCCGTTCTGAATTTGTGAACACGGGTCCTCACAGTCCTGCACTCGCTTCTTCGTGGTCCTCTCCTCTCCCTGATCGTCTCCACCCTTTTCTCAGCATTGAAAACAAAGCATCAGGGTAGAGTTTTTCCTCAATGTCAGCCTTGTGGAGCAGGTTATCCTGGGTGCAGGTGCCAGGGTGAGGGGGCCCTGTGAGGTGCCCTATGTGGCGGGGCACAGTTGCCTTCTCCCACCTTCAAGTTCTTCGGGGCTGCTCTCCCCCTTTTGCTGTGGTGGACTGGGAGATGTGGGACCCCTTACAGGGCTTGACTGTTACCTGCCTGACCACTCTCTGTCATTCACCCAGTGGCAGGCCAAGTGGTGTTTTAATTGACCCAGTTGGTATCATTTGTGGTGGTCATCTGGCCCAGTTGTTGCCATTTCTTTTTTTGCACACAAATAGATTATTGGCGTGAGGAGGGAAGGGAAGGAGCGGACATTCGTGGGGCTGGAGCAGGGCAGTACTCAGGTGACAGGCTTCCTGTCCTCATTGGCAAAGTGCTGGAGGTCCAGTTGGGATTCTTGCCCCTGGATGAGCCACTGTACTGTGACTCTCAGCTCCTAGGAGGATGCAGGCTGGATGGGGAGGGGTGCTGCTGCCCCTGTGCTCTGGTGTCGGTGGCCCAGCACTTTTGGGTGTGGTGTTGTAAAATGAACATGTCACCTCTGTCCTGTGTCCGCTTCTCCAGATAGAAAATAACACTGCCCTGGGGCTGGAGTGATAGTACAGTGGGGAGGGTGTTTGCCTTGCATGCTGCCAAGCTGGGTTCCATCTTGACATCCCATGTGGTCCCCGAGCATCACCAGGAGTGATTCCTGAGTACAGAGCCAGGAGGAAGCCCTTAGCATCACTGGGCGTGACCTCCCAAAAAAGAAAAGAAAAGAAATGGTGTTCTGTTTACAGTCATTCATGAGCAGTAGAATTTATAATGGGGTGGTGGGGAGTCCCAAGTGCATTGGTTACTCGCTCAGATCAGGCACCTCCAATGCTGCATTTCCCAGAGCTGAGTCACTGTTGACCTAGGAGCTCCAATAGCAGTGGTCTGAATTGCTTTTGAATTGCTGGTATTAAGAAATGCAAACAAATCGTTCTTGTTCATCTTCTCAAAAGTTTATCTTTTATCATTTTCTTTAAAAAAATGTTTTATTAGGCTTCATCTGTGGTGAATGCTTGAAAGTCACTTGGCATTGTATAGTCGAATTTGCATCAAGTTGAAGCTCCGATGTTCAGTGGCGGTCAGTGCCGAGAGACAGACCCTGGTGCCTGGAGCTCCCAGGAGAAGTCTGAATGGAGACTAGTCCGAGTTGCATGGCCCTCTCAGCATTCTCTGTTGAAACATGCACCTTCATTTGATGAACTTCACAGCTGGGGTTGACTTGGATCCTGCATCCCGCTTATGTTGTGTTTCTGTTTTCCTTGACTGTCTTTGTTCTC